CCCCCGCCCCCACCACATCGGCTCCCGGCCCCACCCTCCCAGGGAACGCGGCCCGGGGGTCCCGGGCTGACGCGCAGCGTGACAGCGAAACAGGATCTGGAAACGGTAGTGAGAGACCCGGCGTCCGCCTTCCGTCGGCAGAAGCTGCCTGAGGGCAGGCCCCGGGCGGCGAGTGGCTCCGTCTCGGGGCTCAGCCTCTTTCGGTCTCCCCCGTCGCGGGGGCCCTGGGGGCATCTTGAGGACAGGGGGTTCGCCTTTAACGATGCCCCGCCCGTCCTCCCCTCCCCCAAGAAATGCCGACCATAACGACACCTCCTTCCAGTCTGGCCATCGGCCCCTGGCTCCCTCCTCCTCCTCAGCTACATAAAACTTCGTTGCCTTTCAGCCCCCAGGCACCAGGGAGTTCCGGACTGGGCCCATCGATCCGCCCCCATTACTATCCAGGACATTACTATCAGGACACGTCCCGATGATGCACTTCGGCCACTCTGAGTTACGGAGGAGAGAGTCGGAATAACCTGAGGGGCAAGCGAACCGGGCCTCTCGTGCGTCTGGGCACGTGCCTTCATTTTCTCATCCTTCACAACAACAGTGCCACCAGGCATACAGAGTTCTGAAAAGATTTCCTTTGGAACTTAAGATTAAAATTCACTCCGGATTTGAGCCTTTTTTAGATAATTTAACTTTTCAATCACCGTTAAATTGTGCTAAACATTCTGGAAAAAAAGTTATTCAAAAAGTTACATTAAAACCATAAAACTGGGTAAAGAATTTTTATACAATCCTGTTTTTTAAAGAGCTGCTTAAGCAATGGTGGAAGAGACTTACGAGGAAGAGGTGGAAGTGGTCTCTACTCAAGCTGCCTTATACAAGTCACTGGATAATTACTATACCTTAATTTTATGTGGTGTATGTTATACAAACCACAAGACATTCAAGAACTGTAGTGTGATAATCCTAAACTGTGTAGCATGACCAATTATCTCTATCAAATAGTGACAGAACAGCATTGGTTCTAAACTAACATGGCAGTCTAGAACAGAACTGAAACATAGCTACTGTATTTGTCAAATTTCTAGTCAAAATAGTATCATTATAGTATCATTTACACAGATACTTTTTCCCCTTAAGTCTGTGTATATCAGGATAATATTATATATGTGGTTATGATACATATTTTCCTGAAACAATTTACATCTGAACATATTTTATTTTTGAAGTCTATTAACAATTACTAACATTTAACAATGGTATTAACAATACCATTTCTGGGAAGAAAGTATAGCAATTTATCTTCTAGAACAGTAATGAATGCATGTGGCAATCTGGAACTGAATCATTGTAATAACATCAACTTTGCAGTCAAAAGAGAAGGTATTAACTTGTAACAGTTACATTTCACATATATGGAGTCCAACCAAGGTACATCTGGCATAGCAAGTTTTCATCAGTTGCTTCTTGAATGAGGTAGTGTACGTGTCCTTCAATAGATAAAGGTAGCCCTGTTACTCTATTCCTAGCTTTGATTACACCTTGCAGTCTCTGTTCGATGTCAAGTACGTGAGTCTTGGCCTAGAAATGAGAAAATAGAAGGTTTTAAATAAGTAGAAATATCTACATATTCAGGTAAGAATGAATGTTTTTTAATTCCTCAAATCCATTGCTCCAGCTTTGCTTTAACCATTTTTTGGTCAGATTGGCGACCAACACTTTTGCTGGAATGTAGACAGGAAAGGGGAAAAGAGAAAAATACATTTCAGAAGTTTAGAGTTTGGGCATGGATTCTGATTCAGTTAGTCAATAAACATTCATTAAGCACCTAGTTGTGTCAAGAACTATGGTAACCACTGGAGATAGAAGAAAAAAAAAAGGTAAAGGACAGCCCCTGCCCTCAAAGAGCTCACAGTCTAATAATGAGAAACATGACATAACAAACAAGCTTAATGGAGGATAAATTAGAAATCATCAACAGAAGGAAGACATTAGAATTAAGAGGGATTGGGAAAGGCTTTGTGTAAGAGGTGAGATTTTAGCTGGGACTTGAAGGAAGCCAGGAGGTGGAGATGAAGAGGGAGAGCATGCCACACATGGGGGAACCAGAGAAAATGCCCAGAGCCAAGAGATGGAGTGTCTTGTGTGAGGAGCAGAAAAGAGGTCAGGGTCACTGAATGAAGTGTGCATGTGTGTGGGAGGGACCAGGTTAGGAAGGGCCATACAGGATTTTTTTTTTAATCACAAAAATGATGGGGAGCCACTCAAGTTTGCTGAGCAAGGGTGGGGGGGAGGCAGCACTATCCACTTTGCACTTTAAGAAGATAACTCTGTCAGCTGAGTGGAGGATAAAATGGAATTGGGAGAGACTTGAGGCAGGCAGACCCACCATCAAACTATTACAATAGTATAAGAATAAGGTGAGGAGGGTGTGTACCAGGGTGGTGGGAAGAGAAGAAGGCATAAGAGCAGTTGAAGATGACGCCTACATTTTAAGTCTGAGTGACTAGAAAGATAGCATTATCCTCAAGAAAAATCAGGAAGTCAGGAAGGGGTTGGATTTGGAGGGAAGATAATAAGAGTTAAATTTGGGACATGTTTAGTTTAAGATGTCTATAGGACAAACATCCAGCTTATGATGTCAAAGACGCAGTTGGAAATACAAGACTGGAGGTCACACCAAAGAGGTTACAGCTAGATAAGCAGACTGTGAATCTTTAGCAGAAAAAAGATAACTGAATCTATGGTAGCTTTCATTTCTACCTCATGTACCCAACTCTGATTTAATGCTAGTTCTTAGTTTGGGGAGATGTGAAAAACTCCACATTGAGACATGCATATACTCCCTAACCTTCCAAGAGCCCATTAACTAAATAAGATGCTCAGGATAATTTTTCTAAGAAATAAGAGATGATGGCAGTTCAGTGAAGGAATGAAGAACCTGTTTATTGAAAGACAAATGTTGCTTTGACAAAACTTTTATTCAACAATCATTAAGTGCCTACTATGAACAATATATGATACTGTCTTATATGTAACCTGAGTGAATATGAAGCTTTAACTCTAGGGATTTTGATTCTTCTTCTGACCAGTTAACATGGAGAGAGGGTACAGAGAACACTGGCACATAAGGAGGGTAAAGGGTATCAGAGAAGAACTGGAAGTTCCAGACAATAAGACTTATGTGCACTGTGACAGCCATGCTATATTTGGATCTTTCTTTCCAGTCCAGGGATCTATCTTTAGAAGTCAGGTGACTTTAACACTGGATAGAAAGTTACACCAACACAATGAAATGGACATTTTTCTAGACTATTAAAACATCAAATCCTATTTGTCCTTCATATTATCATCCTACAGAAATCAATTTTGTTTTTCATTGTGCTAAATATACAGTTTTTAAAAATTCTTTCATGTTTAAAACCCAGTTAAAATTTTAAGTGGAAACTTCATTTTATCCTCTCAGTCACCATTTATTTAAGTGCTAATATGAGGATATGAAGACAAAAATGAAAGTCTTTGCCATAAAATAATTTACATTCTACTCAGGAAGATAACATGTATACAGATAAGTAAATACAAGGCACTATGAGGAAGAAGAGAGTACTAACAACTGGGGGAAATCAGAGAAATGTGGCACCTGAGTTAAAGCTTCAAGTAATAGAATGATTTAGGAAGGAGAGCATCCTGGGCAGGAGAGAGAGCCTGTCTGAAGGAATGAAGACTGAACATAAAATAACATATTTGGGGAACAACTGGTGGTTAAGTTTGACAAGAATGTAGACAGCATGAAGGGGAATAATATAGAATAAGTATGGAAAGGTAGGTTACAGTATGAATGTGGAGGGCTTTAAATGGTAGTAGGCTAAGGAGTTTGTATTTTGTCCTATGTGCAGGGAAGTGACATGGTCAGAAGTGCTTCAGAAATATCAATTTGGGTCATATGAAAAAAAAATACTCAATCACTACTGATTAGAGAAATGCAAATCAAAACAACTCTGAGGTACCACATCACACCTATCAGGTTGGCTAATGTGACAAAACAGGAAAATGATAAATGTTGGAGATGATGTGGGAAAATTGGAACATTAATACATTGTTGGTGGAGTTGTGAACTGATCCACCAATTTTGGAGAGCAATTTGGAACTATGCCCAAAGGACTATAAAAATGTGCATACTCTTTGACCCAGCAATAGTACTTCTAGGGCTGCATCTCAAACAGATCATACAAATGGGAAAAGGACCCACATGTACAAAAATATTTATAGCAGCTCTTTCTGTGGTGGCAAAGAATTGGAAATTGAGGGGATGCCCATCAATTGGGGAATGGCTGAACAAGTTGTGGTATATGAATGTAATGGAACACTAGTGTGCTATAAGAAATGATGAGCAATCACACTTCAGAAAAATCTGGAAAGACTTATATGGACTGATGCTGAGTGAAGTGAGCAGAACCAGGAGAACATTGTACACAGTAACAGCCACATTATGCAATGACTAACTTTGACAGACTTAGCTCTTTTCAGAAATGCAAGGATCTAAAACATCTCCAAAAATCTCATAATGGAAAATGTTATCCACATCCAGAGAAAGAACTATGGAGTTTGAATGCAGATCAAAGTATACTATTTGCTCATTTTTTTCTTCTGTTTTGTTTTGTTTCTTCATTCTTGTGATTCCTCCTATTGATTCTAATTCTTCTTTACAACATGACTAATGTGAAAATATATTCAATAGGAATGTATATGTAGAGCTTATATCTTATTGCATGCTGTCTAGGGGAGGGAGGTGGAGAAAATTTAAAATTCAAAAGCTTATGGAAGTGAATGTTGAAAACTAAAAATAAATAAAAATAAAAAATATCAATTTGGAAGTTACTAAACTGTACATACCCTTTGGTCCACTGATAACTACTGTGAGGCATATGCCCCAAGGAAGTCTTTGACTTCAAAAGAAAGGACCTAAATGTAAGTGAGTATTTATACTAGCAT